TAAAAAAATATAATGTAAAAATATAATATATAATTATATTAAAAAAATATTATATTAATTATTTAGAATATAACAATAATCTCAACTTATATGTTTGCTTTATTTCTTTACCTATATGGCACTTATGGTTTTTTTTTTTTTATTGTAATCTTATATTACTATTAATAAATCTCTCTTTTTTTTAAGAAAAATAAAATAAAATAGACAGAATATGAAGTTGAAAGTAAAGCTGTGGACCTGGGTTTAGTTTTATGGGACAGAATAGTCCACTCTTTAAGGGAGGCTGATTTGGGCGTCTTGTTACAAACGGTGGGGCATACAGGTGGCATCACAAAGAGAAGGTCGGAAATACATGTCATAACATTTTGGCTTGGCACCCAGCAAATACTTACAGGAGGTGTGGGCAGTCATTTGGTTTTGTATTATATATGGTCCCTATGGTTATAGAGGAATGGCCGAATCTTCCAGGAGGAGGCACCTACAATGGAAAAGGGGATAGAGCCTATCAAGTGTCGATCATTTTTTTGGATTAAAGCGAATATATGTTCTGATCTTGATTGGGACTTGTGGCTGAGGTCACCAAAGGAAGCTGCAGGTTGAGGAATAAGTCTCTGTTTTGATTACTCATAATTTGATATTTTGTGGTTTAAAATAATGAAGCTGTAAGCTGACATGGAATAAATTATCTTTTAATAAATAGGTTTAGAATACCCTTTATATTCTCATTAATAAAGATTATTTTTTGTTTATAAAAAAAATTATAAACAATAGCTCTCTGTTGGATTTAAAAAAAAAAAACTAAGTAGAAATATTATGGTTAATTTATAACCATTAACCATCTACAAGATTAAAGAATGTCTTATTGCATAAATTAAGGTCTTATATTCTTACAAATATAGTTGTCAAAATTACATCTTAACTCATAAAATTGTACAATTTTAGATATGTAATTTGTGTAAAATTAAAATATAAATTGGGATCCCATAAAATTAAAATGGTAAAATCATAATAAAATCGTAAAATCGGATGAAATAGAGATTTTACATATTTAAAAGGTTTTATGAATTTTGTGTCTTGTTGTTACTAATTAATGATCACTAAAAGTGCATTGGTGGAGCTGTGCTTATTGATTATTTATGGGTTGCTTGGTGGTGGTTCGAATCTTGGTCATGTAATTTAACATTTTTGGATTTTCAAGCAAAAATTTTAAAATTTTATCAATTTTTTATAAGTTAAACTAACAATATTTTATTATGAAAATTTTTTAGATGAAAATTATTAAAATTTAAAATAATTTAATAACTATGAAATAGAAAAATGTTCAAAGAATATTTGAAAAATTA